TCCCTGAGGAAATTACGTTTGCCCTAGAGATGACCTTCGCTGATGGAGCCTTGCAGCAGGGACGGATCAAGGGGCAAGTTCTCTAACATTACACTACACGTAATTTTTCTCTGTGAACCACCCATTGTCAATTCTCTTTCATAGACCAATGAGATATTTGATGCCGTTGCCATGACAACCATTGCATTTCATTTCTCCCTCAAAGGGAAAATTATGGTATATGAAGCTTCAGACAATCTTAACATACAAGCTCCCCAAGGAGCTGAGTCATAGTTGTCCCCCCCTTTCATTGCCACCCTAGATCCGCCCCCGGATGGACATAGGGATGTAGCAGATCCCACAGTCCCGCTGGTCTTGCGTTGGGGATGTAGGGATATAGAAGATCCCATCACCCGTCTTGAGGACATCGGGATATAGATGATCCCATAGTCCTTTCAAGGTCAGATTTACAGGAAATGCTCAATTTGAGCCGATGACCTGTGAGAGACCACCACCCCGCACAATCACAACATGTAGTTGAACCATTCGGGGAAAATACTAACACGACTTGAAGTGTTCCATTTCACTGCTAAAAACGAACCTTGGCAATCAGCAGATAAATCGTTTTTAATTCCGCAGAAAGTTTTTACAATCAATTTCCATAAAACAAATCAATTTTTCCCCAAGTTTTTCTCTTGGCAAAGGTGTCACTTTATTACCAAACTTGAGAAAATACTAAAAGTTTTCAAGAAACTTACTTTTAACGCTTTCAGGTTTCCCAAATGGTTCAAAAAGCAAACTTGAACAAAAATGTTTCAACTTTGCTTGGATATAAACATGAAGGGTTCCTCACCAGGCCTAGTTGCTATGATCCGGGGTTCTTGTGCATGTTCACGCCTAAAAGAAATGGTTACCTTACCTTATGAACATGCAATTCTTGAATTCCCCGGCCTCTACTTGGGATGACTCATCTCCTGTTGTACGTTTTAACCAACAATCCCCTTGCCCAACATCGGATGAATCCTGCAAAATCAAGCAAAATCAATCAAGCATTGAGAAATTTGAAAAGTAAAAAACACACTTAATGTCGTGATGGATGAATTGGTTTAAACAAACAGAGCCTTTGGTGATAACTTTTACACCAAAATTCCATTTTCTTTGCCCCTACTGATTCAGATTGCTCGTCAAAGAAGAATGTGGTCCCTGTTGAAATAAGAATTCATTCTACTTGAACGAACATTGACGGAGAAAGTACAAAACTTAACCACTAGGGAAATTAAGGCAAATATTTGTAAAACACTATCTCACTACCACAATGAAAATGATTGATACAAGCAAGTAAAAGGGTAGATTTTAAGTGCTCAAAGCACGTCAATGTTGACAAGAACGAAACTGCTAGATATAGGCACAGCATTGTGGAAATCTTTGCAGCTCAGTTTTGTCAGGTTCTCGTGGCATCTTGGGGGTAAAACATTCTTTCTTTGGTAGACACACTGCATAAATAGAAACTAAGTTGGGAATAATCTGATAAAAATGTATTTGGATTTTTTTAAATTTTGAACTTCTATTTCGTTTGTCATCAAATATGATACAAATATTGACCGCATCACCTTGGAAAATAATCCTAAATGGATCAGGAGGCTGGCTTCCCTGCATCACGATAAAATTGCAGTCAATATTTGTTATAAACACCTCTACCACAGATTCTGATAGATCTAAGATTCGGATTGTTTTATGCAGTAAAAGCAAGTCTGTTTTAATCAGAAATTAGTTGAGCACCTCTTCTTGACGTATTTCAAGTTGAAATACGCTAGCTTACAGCCTCACATGTGTAGCTCTGAACCAGAGTATACAAAATGTGCGACACACTAGTATGCATTTGAATGCAACACCTATGGATAGTTCTTTAGCCTCTGCCAGGTAAAGCGATTTGAATGCCATGGGCACAGTTCTTAGACACTCAAAAATACAGAATCTGTGCGTGAAGTGCTACAAGAAGACTTATCTGTAAATGAGTAATTCTCACCTCCATGGACATTCCTTGAACGACAATAGCTTCATCAGCAGGACCGATTCCGGACATAAGCCGATTTCTTTCCAGTGCATCATTCAGGATCCTCTCGATCTCTTCCTCACTGACATTGTTCTTTCGTTTTCTCCAAGTCAGCTATCTCTTTTAAAACACTGGCTTGTGCCATGTCCATGAAATTCCTCCTTTCAAATTTTCAAAGTCAAAGTCTAGGCTCAGAGTCCACTACGACAGATGTCAATTTCCCTCACTTGTTGAATGCTATGCATTTATTTTATCCAAGGAACCTCCACAGTTAAACCGATTTTCACTTGTGCCGAGGTCGTGCTTCAGAGAAACTTGACCAAAAGAAACAACTGCCCGGTTGGGGCAATTATCGTGACTTCTTAAAGCGTTTTTGAAATTTGATTTACAAGTTTAAGATGAGTGCTGTTGATTTTTGAACACAAAAGAGCACATTTTGCGCAGTGAATTACATATAACAGCGTATATCTTTTTAAAGTCACTCACAGCATTTAGACAGATCACATTCCCCATTTTAATTAGCAATTAGTAATGGGTAAACGGTTAAATGAGGGGTAATGGCTTGTGGTTACATATTTGTTAATGGTTGAGGGTTAGTTGAGGTGCATACGGTTTAGAGTGGGATTGTTTTGGGTGTTAATGGCTGGGTATTGGTTGAGGTAAAATGATTACGGTTAATGGTGTTATTTATTGTTAATGGTTGAAGGTTAGTCGAGGTTCATATGGTAAATGGTTATAGTTAATGGGGTTGTTATTTACTGTTTATAGTTGAGGGTTGGTCGAGGTTAATATGGCTTATGGCAGGTGGTTGACGGGATTGTTTTCATGGCTATGAGGAAATGATCTCAAAATACTATTTACTGGCATACTGACATGACCAACAATTGATGCACAGCGAGTCAGTATATCAGAAAGAACAGAACTAGCTTTTATTTTAGAAAAAAACCAATATTGCATTCAATTTTTTCCATGTGACAGGCTAACCCTGGATAATAGCAAGTCCAATGATACGTGATCTTGTCTGATCGTAGGTCCATTGTTTCACTTCGAGTACAAATGGTAGAATCTTGTTGCAGTGGGTTTGATTATGCAGGCATCTTCACTGCAACATTCTTCCTGCGAGCTGTATGTGGGAGTGTTGCTTCCAGTCTCCTTCGCCAATTGAAAGCAATATGTCATCTGTAAAATAACAAAATAAAACCTTTAAATTATTTCCCCAAACGCTCGGTAGCTCTAATTTAGAGGACTCTGGGACAGGACTTTACACTCCATCCCAATTTTATCTTCAAAGTCAACAGTTTCATAAACTTGAGAATTGGAGATGCTACATCTACTGTTCAATCCTCACTTTTAGGACTCTGCACATATTTGACAAAAAGAAAAACTTTCAATCTTTCTTCAAAAATTCTCCTCAAAATGGCTCCTCAGCCCTTAGTGTAAAAAGAAACTGCTTCAGGAAGCACACGTAATTTGGCAAGTATATATGACCGTGGACTGGCGCCATAACTTGCGACAAACAGTGAGCCCGACTATACGAATTTCAAGTAAGAAATATATATTTGGTTTCATGCATTTGCATCCGTGACGGTGTTCTCGGCAGGTAGCCTATTTCGATACCTACTGCAAGTCTGAGTGGTTTTCTGATAGGAAGAGGGGAGGGACAGAGTTCCATATACGGACGCCACTTGAAACCCTGTGCACGAACCCTACAGAAGTGGCCAGAGAATTTTTATTTTCTGAGTAAACCGTGGAACGACTTGATGTTTTCCCTTCTAATAACTTTTCTGTTTTTACTTTCTGACGGCTAATAGGTCATAGTAGGGAATAATTACTGGGAGTATGGCAAGGCAAGCGCTGTACGCTGCTTTCTAGTGTTCACACACTCGTAAATGGTCGAGTTAATTGTTTGACGTCGTGCATACACAATGTGTGATGCATCGTGTGAATGGCAAAGGTATGCCGCAGACTGGCAGACTATTCAATGAGAGGCCACTTCCAGAACTGTAAGGTTCATGCAAACCTTTCTACAAACCTGACCGAGGGAAAAGTTCCGTATACTTTCCAAATTATCTTTACTTCCTCAGGAAGTCTTCCTATTACACAAAGGGTTGGAGAGCCATTTTGTGGAGGACTTTGGAAGAAAACGTGGAATTATAAGAATTCCGTATCCAGCCATCACTTGATGACACCCTGCCATAAAACCTCACAAGACTGGTCTGAAAATTCTAAATGCTTTCCAAGTCAGTGCTTCAATATTAGCACTGCTAAACGTGACTTTTAGACATGTTGTCACTTTCTAAATGCCTAATAGACTGCTGCAAGGGAAAATGCGTGATTTCCCTACATTATGGAACGTGAACCCTGGAACTTGGCCTACCACGACGAAGTGAACGAGTCACAATTGAAATG